GCTTGCTTGCTAGTTGCCTCAATAAACGCAACAACGCTTTTTAGTGGTCCCTTGTCAATTGCACAAGCATTTGGCAACTACTTGCAAAAGGCGATTGAATTCCGCATTATACTTGGAGAATAGAGCAAATACAAGGAAGTTATCATCCCTAAACAATGAGAGCCATTTCTAACGATAACATGGACGAGGGCAGCAAGTTCTGGAAACTAGATTTCGGAAAGCGACTTGCAGAATCTCAGATAAATACTACTCGGAAAGCATTCGTTCAAACAGATTACCACTATTCTGTCACTTGATGGATGATCTTATCGTGTTCGTCGATTTTATGATAAACTAATTCGGAACGAACTCTCTCTCACTTAACTTGATCCGTAGAACACAGATTGGGTCAGCACCAATCCAATGAAATGAATCAATATCACTGGAGACGAATTTAGAAATTTTTGAAATCTGTCAACCGAACAAATTGAACAATATCAACGCTACATGAAACGATTAGCATGAAAGTGAGATATAAAGCATAATCAAAAAATAATAAGTTGTGTAAAGAGGCGTCCTCTAGGTGTGCACATGTTTCCATCTAGTCATGACTATTGTGTGTCAAACCTTTTCAAGCATGCTCTTTCGATCAAACATTGCCGTTTCTATGGATTTGAAAAACTCAAAAGTGGCAATGAACAATACCTATTCGAGCATCTGAAACATGAATACGTGAAATTTNGACTTATTCAATTCATGCCAAAACAATTCATGTGATGACTTTTGTTGTGCTCAATGCTGGCTTTTTTTGTTGCGTATCTGGTAACTCGCAGAATCTAATCAAATATTGATGTAGATTATTGCTATCCATAACATCTGCACAATCGCACCCTATTTGATCAATGTAACGCTTACTTGTAGAGTGCCGTTTGTCTGGCTGCTGCTTTCAAAAGCATTCAGAATAACAAATCAACCGCTCATTGCTCGAAAAAAACTTTAAATCGTCAGAAAATTTTTCAAATCTTTCAAGTTGAAGTGAAAAGAAAACGATTCCGGATGTTTTCCGCGGTCCTCGATGAACAAAAGCGTTAAAGAATATTCTCAATAATTAGTATGTGAGAGATTTCATAGTTGATGAGGGCTAGAAAAAAAAAACAGGATAATGATGATATGGAATAGCATATCCACAGGGGAAGTTTTTGCGCGTTTCGTGTGAAAATGGAAATCTGTTTTACTTGTTTTGATTGGATTGCAATGAACATTGTACTAAAATTCAATTGATCGGTTGGCATGGCAATCAGATGATAATATAATAATTACCGAGGTAATCAGCTAACAACTCGAAAAGGCACCGAGGTGATTGACCGTGAAGACGTTGAATACTACAAAAATTAAATTTAAACTTAAAGTTATGTGCTATCAACAAATTTACTTCA